CATCTGAAAGTTATAACAGCAAAGAATAAACATTTGTATCTTCTAACAAGACAGGACACAGGAAACAATCTTCTGGGAAATGATTCATGAAATCACCTTAAAATATTTCATATTTGTCTAATGAAAAGTTTAATAGAACCCCTAAAGTAAACATAAGATTATCTTTATTTCTTTATTAAGAATAAAGTACAATTTTTTTGGTCTTTTTTTTTTGGGAAGGGGGATGTTTTTTGAGACAAGGTCTCCCTATAGCCCCAGCTGGCTTGGAACTCACTATGTAGACCAGGCTGGCCTCAAACTCACAGAGATTCGCCTGCCTCTGCCACCCAAGTGCTGGGATTAAAGGTGTGCGGCACCACACCCAGCTTTTTCTCTCTTAAGTGAAAATAGACTTTGAATGTTAGTAAGCACTGTACAGGATGTAATGGATAGCTCTTGTCTTAGAATTGTAATACACATGTGTACATACATGGGTGCCTGGGCACACCTCTGCTGGGTTACAATATAAAATGTTATTTCTTATTCTTGATCTGGCCAAAAGTCTTTGAGTCAAAGAGGAAGAGAGCCAGGGCCCGATGTACAGACCCAAATTTCCTGAAGAGAAGTCAAGGGATAGTTCCCAGGAGTGGGATGCCCTAAGCAGGGTAGAAAATGTGATATACTCACTTCCTTGCTTCCTCCAGGCCTCTTCGGCTTTGTGATCCTCTCCCTGCTCCTCGTGCCCATGTACTACATTCCAGCTGGCTCCTTCAGTGGAAATCCTCAAGGGACACTGGAAGATGCCCTGGATGCCTTCTGCCAGGTGGGCAGACAGCCCCTGATTGCCCTGGCGCTGCTGGGCAACATTAGCAGCATTGCCTTCTTCAACTTTGCAGGCATCAGTGTCACCAAGGAACTGAGTGCCACCACTCGCATGGTGTTGGACAGTTTGCGCACTGTGGTCATCTGGGCCCTGAGCCTGGCGCTGGGCTGGGAGGCCTTCCACCCACTGCAAATCCTTGGCTTCATCATCCTCCTCTCAGGCACCGCCCTCTACAATGGGCTGCACCACCCACTGCTAGCCTGCCTGTCCAGGGGCTGCCGCCCCCCTACCCAGGAGGGTGAACAAGAGAGACTGCTGGGTGATAGCCGGATTCCCATCAATGACTCCAGCTGAGCTTACGATGGGGCCTCTGCTACCAGATGCTCCTTTCCTCTGAGGCTGAGACCATGCAGACTGGTGGGCAATAAGTGCCCATTTCCCAAGCCTTGCCCTGACCCTCCCTAGTGGTCCCCCAGGGCAACTGCTGCCAGAGAAGATGACAGGACAGCCAGGTCCTCTTTTCTTGCTGGGGCCTGTAATGTTGGAACCTGGCCCCCACAGGCCCAAGTGTAACAACAACCCCCAGCCCTCCTAGGTCTTTCTCCTGCACTGAAGCTAAATTGTGAACTTGAATGGCAGGAATTTACCACCTTAGTATTTCTGTGTCATACATTAACTTGTCATGATATATTATCTAGCTTATGGATCACAGCTACAAAGAAGTCAGTGAACAGGCTCAAATCAAAACTAAGAGTTATGTTGTCTAAACAACAGGGTTCCAGCTCAGACTTGGCTGCAGACTCTGTGTGCACCAGATCTGTCAGCTCTGGAGCACAGGTGTCCACACCATGGCCCTTGGTACCTTCTGGCCCCAGCATTCTGTGGGCCTCTAATTGTCATTAGCCTGAGAAAAGAGGAGTGGCACCTTTAAGCCCACCACCCCACCCTGGTGGCTGTTTTGATATTGTCTCCTTCACACTGCCTTGGAAAGACTACATACAGGGGAAATCCAGGCACCACTTGAAATTCACGAACTTCCTGTTTTGTTTTTTAAGGCAGGGTCTTGCTATATAGCCCTGGCATTCAACTCCCTGTATAGCCCAGGCTGGCTTCAAAATCAATCCCCTTTCCTCAACCTCCTAGGTGCTGAAATTAAAGGAATGTGCCACCATACCCAACAGCTTCCATTTTAAGGTGAGGAAACTAAAGCCCAAAGTTGTAGTTTGTTTGGCAAGAGGAGTCTGTCTCTAGCTATCAGCTCTATTGGATGACTTCAGGGTCCTGGTCCAGGCAGCTGCATGACTTTGTGTTTAGCGGGACCTAGAGATGGTGTGATTTACAGTCTCACCCCAGCAGCCTGGCTACATAGACCCTGCCAGGATGCTGGACTTGCCCAGATTCTTCCATGTGGAGTAATCTGGCATTTCCAGCATTGGGTTACATGCTTAACCCTCACTCCTTATTACATGACAGCTTCAGAGATGGGTACAGAGGGAGAAGCCCTGACCTTCCCTGAAGGTTAAATGACATGCCAGTGTCCAGCCAGCCTGGTTTGTCTGACTTGTATGTCCCACTACCATGAGTCTCTGTGGATCTTCCAGGTAGATTGCTGTGACTGGGCTAAATGCTTGGCATACTGTTGCCCTGAAGGTTCTCCCACCCTGAATAGAAGAGCTGGCAGCAGGAGCCCCAGAGCACTTATACTCCTTAATTCCAGTACTGCTTATAGGAATGGCTGAGTGGCAGCTCAGTCATGAAACTAAACACTAATACCTTTTAAAAATAGATTGTGAATGATTCCAGCAGATTCTCACTGTGTGTCAAGGGAGGGACCTCTCCTTTACTCCAACTCTGAGCCCAGGGACCCAAGCTTCTCTGGACTACAGTGTATGTCACAGGGAGAAGGAAATGAGGACTCAGTGCCCATGTATTGGGAATGGTGGGACAGTGTGGCAGCTGTCTTGTCAAAAACAAAACAAAACTGATGCCCTAGAATGTTGTTTCAGACTTTATTTTTAACAAGAAATGGAAAATTGTCAGTATTGTACTTTCTTTTAACAAAAGGGAAGAGGCATGAGAGGGACCCACGAATGACATCTAGAACATTGGAGTGCTAAAAGCACAAGACTCACCAACTCCCCTGTGAATTCAGATGAATACATGACAGCCTAAGACTGGCAAAATGACTCAGCATGTAAAAGTACTTACTGTGCAAGCCGGGTAACTTGAGTTCAAACCCCAGAACCCACAGTACAAGAAGAGAACCAACTTCTGAAAATTGCCCTCTGACCTTCACACACATGTCGTTATACATGCACACCCACACATATACACACACAATAATAATAAACTTTTTTAAAAGTCACTATAGCCCAGAGTGGAAAGGACTTCCCCAAGGTCACAGCCAGTTACAGGCAGTACCAGATGTCCTGTTTCCTTGCCCATCCCATCCTGCTGTAGATGGACAGACTAGAGCCTACCATGGGCTGCATGCTAAACAGGTGTGTGCCGCCATGCCCTGCTGACCATGTGCTTTTAAACCCCAAGATCAGCAGGAAATTGTGTGTAACCTTAAAAGTTTATGTTACTGGGCTGGAGAGATGGCTCAGCAGTTAAGAACACTGGCTGTTCTTACAGAAGACCAGGGTTCGAATCCTAGCACCCACATGGCAGCTAACAACTGTCCGTAATTCCAGCTCCAGAGGATGCGACAGCCTCTTCTGCCCTCCACAGGCATTGCACGACACGGGTACACTTACCTACATGCAGGCAGTACACACATACACATAAAAATAATATTTAAAAAAATTTTTTTTTTAAGTTGTTACTGTTCTTGCCAAAAATTTGTTTTTAGACAGGGAAATGGAGTCCGCTGAGTCAGTGCTTCTCTGGCCTTGCCCCATGGTGTGCCCCCCACTCTTCAACCAGAACCACACACGGATTTGGTACAAGTCTCTAGCCTAAAACAGCTGCTTTGTCCCCTGCGTGCCTGCAGGAACTACCAGTCAGTGCAGTCCCTTAGTACTGCGTGAGCAGGATGAGTACTTAGGCCAGGAGTTTTATTCTGTATTCATCAAGGTTCTCTAGAGGAACAGAACCAATAAAATAAAAATAGATTACAAAGGGGTTTATTATATTGGCTTATAGGATATGGGCTGTGTAGTCCAACAGTGACTGTCTCTATACACTGAGAGGTTGAGAACCCAGTAGCACCTCGGGCCCTAAGGCCAGATGACTCAGCAGTCCCATTCTGGTGCTGAAGGCCAGGACAATGCCTGGAGAGCCCCTGTTCTTCAGTCTACATTGGAAGCCTGAAGAAGCTGGGTCCCAATGTCAGCAGAGGATGATGGCAGCAGCAGTAATGGGGTAGACACACCCGCCAGCAAGGAGGCAAGGCAGGCAGTCAAATGGCATTGCTTTTTTTCTTGGACCTCTTTATGTCTGCTGTGCATGGAAGGTGCCATGCCCTTTGAAAGAGAATCTTCCTCAGTTAATTCTTCCTGGAAATGCCCACCTAGAGATAAGTATCTTAGTTGATTCTAGATCCAATCAAGTAGACAAGATTAACCATCAAACATCTCAGCCTGCCTCAGACACCTGTGCTCCCCCTCCAGGGGCAGCAGGCGTCCTATGCTCTTACAATCTTTCCACCTCCCTATTCCACAATGTTCCCTGAGCCTTAGGTGTAAAGTTTGCATTGTAGATGTATCAATTTGGGCCAAGCACCCCATGGTCACATATTCTCTGAATTTTTACCCCTTGTGGAACTCTGTAATAGTCTCCACCTGTTGGAAAAAGAATCTTCTTTGATGAATGGTGACAGCTACGTTTATCTGTGAACATAAGGATAAGTATTTAGAATATAGCAATAAATTACCTTGGTTTAGGAACATGACTGTAGTAGGTTCTCCTCTAGGGGCTATGACTTCTCCAGCCATGAGTATTTGGCTAAGTTCACAGTATCAGGCATGAATGCTCTCTTATTGAGGTCTTAAGTTCAATTAGACAGCTGTTGATCACCCCCAAGATAAAAGTGCCACTATTGCATCAATAGTTATTTTGCTGGGCCAGACATTGTCATTACAGCTGGGTAGGACTATTGATTGCTTCTTCTACTGTGAGAGCTAGTCCTCAGGGAGGAGGCTTCCAGGTCAGTTCCAGCTCGAGTCCTCTAAGTTCTGTATCTGAAGTGTGTGATGTCTTCAGTAATAGGGTCTTGGACTCTTCAAGTTCTTGGTCTATCCTGATCAACAATTCGAAAGGAGGTTTCCCTTGCCTGGCCCTTGGACACATATATCATGTTTTAATATTTTATTAATTTTATTTTATGTGTGTGAGTGTAATGCCTACATGTATATGAGTGCCCAAAGAGGTCAGAAGAGGGTGTTGAATCCCCTGGAACTGGAGCTACACATGGTCGTTAGTCACCATGTGGGTGCTGGGAACCAAACCTGGGTCCTCTGCAAGAGTAGCCAGTGTGCTTAACCACTGAGCTATCGCTGTAGCCCCATATCATTGGGGTTTTGTTTGTTTGATTGACTGATTGGCTTTTTGGTTGACTAGTTGATTTTTGTTTGTTTTGAGATAAGATCTTACCACATTGCCCTGGCTAGCCTGGAAATCATTATGTAGGCCAAGCTGGCCTCAAACTTGCAGCAAGTCACCTGTTTCTACCTGCCAAGTGCTGGGATTTAAGGAATACACCATGTACAAGCTCAATCCTTTTAAAAAGCTTGTATTTTGAGACAAGTTCCCCCTAACTTGTCCCAGCTAACTCAGGCAGGCCTCAAACTTTTCGTCCTCCTACCTTGGCCTCTCAAGTAGTTGGGATTACAGGTGTGTACCATCACCCCTCCTTTTTGAGGGGTATGTGTGTGTGTGTGTGTGTGTGTGTGTGTGTGTCTGTGTGTGATAGGAATAAAAACTAGAGCCTCGTGTACTAAGCAAGTGCTCTATCACTAAGCTATACTCCTAGTCCCTCTATATTTAATCTTTTTGGGCGATCACCATACAATTTTTTTTTAACTCAGCTTTCTGTTTCTGTGTCTGTAATACCAAGCAAGATGCACAGAGGAATGCCACATAGCAATAGTCGAATTAAGAGTCCTTTATTAATAGCTGGTATTAAGAGAAGGGGCTAATGCCCAAAAGAACTCTCAACCCCAAGGAGAAGGAGGGCAGGGTTTACAAAGCTTAAAAACACATACCTCATGCCAGGGGTAAATCCAATAACCATAGTTATATAATATCACCATGGTTAAACCAAACCAGGGGCAGGTCAATTAACAATGAGATTTCCAGTTAGCAATAAGTTTCAGTTAGGCTGGGATGGAGGATGTGCTACTTGGACATGCTACCTGGCTACATATAAGTTTCTCAGTATTGTAGAAACAGTGTACTCCCCGCATGAAATATTCTGCCTGGCTGGTTACAGTAGGAATATCTAAACAAAAACAGGATAAAGTAAAAGTCAGCTAGAACAAAATGGAGTTAGTTTTGCCATTTCAGTTCCAACATACCTAAGAAGATGTTCTTAAAATAAGAGAGTTTTATTTTGGCTTTTAGTTTCAGAGGTTTTAGCCCATGGTCAATTGGCTCTGCTGTTTGTAGGCCAATGTTGAGATAGCATCATGGCAGGGAGTACATGGTGGAGCAAAGCTGCTCACCTCATGATGGCTAGGAAGCAAAGAGAGCTCCTTTACATAACACACTCCTCCCCTAAAAGTCATTAAGGTATGACTCTATCACGGATTAACCCTCTGATGAGTTCAGAGCCCTTATGATTTAAATATCACCCAAAGTCTCCACCCCTGAACATGACCTCACTGGGAACCAAGCCTTCAACTCATGAGCTTTGGAGGACATTTCAGATTCAAACCATGACACTTTTCTCATATCAGCTGTACCATTTTAATATTCTCAGTGTTGCACAGAGCTTCCATGAAACCACTGATTATATAGGGATTTTCCTGATTAGAGTACATGTTCATTGTAGAACATTTAGAAAATTCATAAAAGTAAAAGGAGGAAATTGAAATTCTCCTTATTCTAATTACATAGACATGACTAAATTCATATTACTCCCAGGAGAAAGGGAAGAGCCCATTTTCTTGGGACAGTTATGCCACTATATTCAACAGCATGATTCAAGAACAATGCTGGTGCCTGCCCTCTAAGACATTCTCTTCAGACCCTGGCATCCTGGCTATCCTCATCTGTAAAGTTCAGGCAGTTAAACTGGCCTCCCAATCCTATTTGCTGGCGGATCTCAAGAGGGTCACAGGTGCCTTATGAGGTTGCCACATTCCTCGTTGTAATTTTAATTTTATATTTCTACTTATTTTATTATTGCTTTGGATCTAGGGTCCCACTACATAGCCCCAGCTGGCCTGGAACTCACAGAGATCCACCTACCTTTGCCTCAGGAGTGCTGGAATTAAGGGGGTACACCACCACACCTGGCTGTCTCATTTTTAAAGCCACCTCAGCATTGCTAGGAAAACAAAATTTTGAGGGTAGTCATTTGCCTAGATGATGATGTTCCACAAAGGTACCACCTCCATCTTCAGAACTGAGCTATCCCTTTTCTTTCTTTCTCTTTCTCTTCCTTCCTTTCCTTCCTTCCTTCCTTCCTTCCTTCCTTCCTTCCTTCCTTCCTTCCTTCCTTCCTTCCTTCCTTCCTTCCCTCCCTCCTTCCTTTATTTACTTACTTTTGGTCTTTTTGAGATAAGGACCCTTTTTGTTCCTCAGCTGGCCTGGAACTCACTATGTAGACTCAGCTGGTCTTGACCTCACAGAGATCCACCTGCCTCTGCCTCCCAAGTGCTGGGATTAAAGGTGTGCTCCTCTATGCCTGGCTTTTCTTTAAATTCTTTTTTTTTTTTTTTTTTTTTTTGGTCTTTTTGAGACACGGTCGCCCTGTAGCCCCAGCTATCCTGGAACTCACTATGTAGACCAGGCTGGCCTTCAACTCGCAGAGATCCGCCTACCTCTGCCTCCTGAGTGCTGGGACCCTGAATTGGAGTTATAGACTACTGTTAGCTACCATGTGGGTGCTGAGAATCTTAACCAGGTTCTCTGCAAGAGCAGCCATTGCTCTTAACCGCTGAGCCATCTCGCCGGCCTTTTGAACTTTCTGTTTGACCAGAGGGCACCAGAGGAAGTTCCACAGCGGTAAGAACAACAACTCCCAGCAGGCAAAGGGAAAGAAGGCCCCGCCTCCCTCACGTCTGCCAAGTGCCCATTGCATTCCCATTGGTTCTTCCGGCAGTCACTCCATTCCTGACGTTCCAGAATCAGCCACTGGGAGTTTCCCCTCCGGGTTTTAAAAAACGCCGAGGACGGCCTGGGCGAGGCGGGCTATTTGAACCAAAGGTGAAATCGCTGGCTGTCGAGCGCCGGTGGCCCTGACACACGCTGTCTGCCGACTCTGCGCGGTTCTCGTTGCCGGCTGTGGCCTAAGAACCCGCCATGGGCCCGCGCCGCAAGCGGGAGACCCCGAGGAGGCGCAGCGCCACCCCGGCCCCGGGGCCCTCAGGTAAGGGCCTTTTGTGCAGCCGGAAGTACGTAGGGCTTCCTTGCCATGACTTGCCACTAACGAGGATGATGCTATGTCCATTTTACTGCCAGTCAGAAAACAGTAGGGCCACACATTTGGTTCTTAAAGTTGGGAAGAGGAGGGGGGCTTGTCTGTTTGTTTGAGACAGAGTCTTATGTAACTCAAACTAACCTGGAATTTGCTATATAGCTGAGGATGACCTTGAACTTCTGGTTCTCCGGCCTCTACCTTCTACGTACTAGAATTAACAGGTCTTCGCCCCCTAGCCCTGTTTATGCCAGGGATCCAACCCCAGGGCTTTGTATTTGCTAGGCAGCCTCGATGACAATTTAACTACATTCCCTACCACCATGGCCTTTTAACTTTATTTTGAGACATCATCTCTCTTAAGTTGCCCAGGCTGGTCTTGAACTTGAGATTCCCCCTGTTCCAGCCTCACATGTAACTGAGATTGCAGTCCTGTACCATCAGGCCTGGCTTATTTGTACCTTTTTAATATTTGCAGTGCTAGAGTTGGAACCCAGGGTTCCTCCATGCATGCTAGGAAAGGGGTCTTACCCACCCCCATATCTTTTTTTTTTCAATTCCAAGTGCTTAGTTTTCATGGTCATTTTAAACAACAGTCCTGTTCTTAGGAGGTGTCACACTCAGGTTCTCTTTTCCTTAAGTGTGTGACCCTCTACTGCACCCACTTTTCTCCCTTCCCAAGCCTGTGTCCCTGGGGAAGTTCTAGATACCCAGCTGATGGGTGAGGGGTGTCAAAGGCTTGAACTGTACTGATAGCTTTACTTGCCTTCTAAGTGATGCTACATAGCTAAGAACAGGGAAGAAGTATATTAAAGGGTACTTTTAGATGTTGCTTTTGCAGGTAGGTTTTTTTACTAAACATAAACGTTTACATCCATTCTGCTGAACTCTCTATTAATCCTAACAGTCTTTCTGTTGCTTCAGTTGGAATCTCTCAGCAGTCTGTTATTTGATCTGTAGATAGTGACTTTGGAGTCTTCTTTTTGCATGTTTGTGCATCTTATTTCTTATCAAATAGTTTAATGAGGCCCTATGACTAGTACTGTGAGAGCAATAAAGACTCAGGACCACCTTCTCCCTCTTCCGTCACCCCTAGTCGTCCCACTCATTCTTAGCTGTTGGTAGCTTTGCCTAGGTGGCCCTTTCCTTTCAGAAGCTACTCTTCCTTCTATGTGGACTCTTGGTTGTATCTTCCTTTTGCCCTGAAAGGGACTTTGTTGGATTGACACTTAGAAGTCAATCCAAATGCCTTACATTGGCGTAGGCAAATGTATTCCATACTTAGACTCTGAAGACAATGAGTAGAGGTGCTTCCTTGATGACCACCCCTTCCCTGGGCTCCTCTTTTCTCTCTTCCCTTCATGTGTACTTAGAAAGAACTAGAACTCAGGTCCTCCTGCTTCAGTCTCCAGGATTACAGGTGTGTGCTACCACATCTATCCAGATTTATGTCTCCGTACATTGTTTCCTCACTTCTCAGTCACCCTTCATTCATCCCACTCTAAGTCTAGCCCCCACAGTTGCTACCTCTACTCCTAGTTCACTTGAACTACTGTCAGGACCACCAGCTATTTTCATATTCATGCTTTCAACAATGTGAAAGTTGTCAAACCTATGGACATGTCTTTGTTCCTCTGTCTCAGAAGCATGCAACACAGTGGACCACTTTCTCCTTGTAACATTTTTGTTTTGTTCCCTTGGCATCTATGACACCAAGTGCCCTGGTAGTTCCTCCTTGGTATTCCTCGACTGCCTGTGACACCTCTTCCAGCTCCATGATATTGAACTTCCTTGGTGACCTTCTCCAGTGATTTCATCATTCCTGTGTCTCTTAAGTACTGCTCATAGTACCACTTACCTATACATTGGCAACTCAGATCCATATATTTACCTGGGTACAGTAGAATCCCAGTACTTGGGAGGGAGGCCGAGACAGGAGAGTGACTTGGAGGACCATCTGGGCTATACCGAGATTGTCTTTAAAAGAAAGAAAAGGAAAGGAAAAAAAAAATCTACCTGCCTTTCTACCTGCATGCTAAATCTAAGGATTTGTCAAAGTAATCCATCAAAAGCTGAACTTCTGATTACTCTCCTCTAGCCTCTTCATTTCAGTAAATGGTACATCTACATACCTAGCTGTTCAAGCCAGAAAAGTGTCAGATGTTCCTTTCTTCTGACCCCATATAGAATCAAATGCAAGTCGAAGCAAGTCTCCCTTCAAATTGCATACTTAATTTCTCATCAGCCTGGACTAAGCTGCCAGCCTATCTCCACCCTCCCCACCACCCTAGGGTAGAAGCCTCCTAAGTAGCCACTCCTCTTTCTACTCACCTGTCCCACTAAATTTTCTCCTTCCCACTCTCTGTTGACCCGCTCTCACTCTCTCAGGGTCTCGTGCTCCTGACACGGGTGGACAAACCAACATATCACACTTTTATCTTGGTTTTCGTGTGGTTTATATGATAGGGAGGGAGGACTTACAAAGAGACAGCGACATTCCATCCCCTCCCACAGTCTTGGTCTCACCCCACCATCTGTGGATGCCCCTTCTCACTTCCATGCCTGCAGGACACCTCCACCTTTCGCCCCAGTGGTCACACACTTCCTTTTCCTGTTCCAATCTTGCCTCTGCTCGCTCTGCTGGCAGCTCAGCTCCACCCTTCTTCCCAGGGTGCCCTGTGCTCACGCTTTTCGGAGGAATGAGTGGTTTCCAGGCTATAGTCCACCCCTTTCCTCTGGCTCTTACAAACTTTCCACCATTTCTTACAAGAATTTCTTGTATCATGGTGAGATAGTGTCTCTTGGGCCCCCCCATCATTCGTCTTCAAGACATGGCTGCTGATCTGTTTCAGTGGTGTTTCCCCTACTATGAAGACAAATGGAAGGAAGCAAACACATCTAAACAAACATGAATATCTAGAAGATATCCCAGTAGTTGTACCATATTCATTAAACAGTATACTTGCAGTGGCTTTCTGTCTGGGCGTGTAACCTTCCTGACACAGGGTTGGCCTGGTGTATAGTAATAGATGTGTGTTCCACCCCTAGGAGCGGGGCCTTACCCAATTAGAAATTTGTCAGTTGTACGTATGTTAATCCAGCCATTATTGCACTAGCAGGCATTGCTTGCCATGTCCATAATGTGCAGCACTCGGGGTCCATTGTTGAGTAGAATCATAGGGGATCCTTTCTTCCGCAGCCATCTGCATAATGCCTTCTGGCACTATGAAAGCCATCCATACAGTGGCGTGGAGTTTTTGGCTTAGTCTCAGCTCCATCTCTTCTCCCATGCTCACATCATGCAGTATCTTCAGCAACATGGCCTTACTGACCTTTCTAGTGTACAACTGACATTAGTGGCAATAGCCTTGGTGAATTTGAGGAGCTTTAGGATCTCTCTCTGATCAACAGCTCATAGGGGGGAAACCCACCCCTGGTGTAGTTTTCCTTAACAGTTGTATAGTTTTGGGAGCCTCTGTTTTTATCTTACCCAACCATAAAACTCCCAAGAATCTTACAGCTATAGCTGGGCTTTGTTTCTTCAGGTATCTTTCAAATGGTTTTCACATCTATAAAACACTCAAAGGTTAGCATCATATATTAAATCAATCATAGGCAAGGTCTAACAGCATGAAAAGGTTTTATCTATTCGTGCTAATTGCTTTCTCTATAGATCTCTTAGGTACCATAGCATGGGTAAGAGGCATTAATTTGGTTAGTTCATTACTATCTTTAGTTATCCCTTTGGAGTCATTCCACATTCTGGGGATCTTACATGGAGTCTCTTTGTATTCTTTTATCCTTGATACACTTACAGGTGTTGGCTCCAGTTGCCTGACCCTGCACCTAGCTAAGGAGGCAGGGGGTTTCTCTTGTCCCCACTGCACCTGTTAGTTCCCTGAGTCAGGCAGGCCCTGAGACTGCCTCCTGACTGTAGCCATATCTGTCTTCTCACCATTGACCATACCTGGCTGCTGGGGGAGGCCTGGTAGGAAAAACTTCCTCCACCCCTAGCATAGCCTTTATCAGGAGAGAAATGTACCTTATTTAATCTTTGGGGATCCTTAACCACCCCGGGACAGTTTTTATCCTCTGAATGTCTTTTGTAAACTGTTTTTCTGGATTTAAAGCCTTCCAGAAACTCCTTAGTACTGAATTTGGTGTTCTATCAATTTTTCTTTGGGAATTTGGGCTCGACATAAGTCTTGCCACATCTGTCTTTGAGTAACCCAGATGGACCGTTTCTTCTGTCTGGTCTTTTTTATATCTCTCATAGGGCGTTCTGTTATTCTACAGACATAATTTACACACTGGTCAGAGTCACTTAGATCTGCTAAAGCCTCTCTCACTTTACAAAGATCCTGTCCCATTAAAGTGCTTAGCAAAACCATTAAAGGTCTATATCAGTCTCAAGGTCCCAGTTGAATTAAGCTTTCCTTTATGTCTCTGGTGAACACAGTTTTATCTGGCGCAGTGAACTGGGCACCATTTATTGCTTTTCTCATACCTAGTTCTCTCAGTAATGCCTGTCCCTCCTTTATAGTCCTCCAGCCCCTGTTAATCATGGGAGTTTCCATGGGTGATGACCATGTATCTTTAAAACCTTGCACCAGCCATCCCATTAACGACTGCTCCCCACTGCGTTGGCCTAGGTTGAACAGCCTATGTCACAAGGACAGGTGGTGTTGTACCTCATCCACTGGACCCCAAAAAGACCACCGAGGACCCAACACACCAAAATGCAAAAGCAAAGGTTTATGGTTTATTCGGGCTTAAGCTCGGGTTCTCAGACTTCACCAACTCAACGGATCCGTGCTGAGAGCCCAGAGTAAGGGAGAGTGGAGCCTTTTATAGGTTTTAGACAAAGAGAGGAGGGGGATACCGAAGATACATTTTGGTTGGTTCAAGGAGCCCGCGTGCGCCAACATAATTTTAAACCGATTGGATGTATA